ATTGTTCAATATCGTTAACTTTTTGACTTCAAAAAATTGGCGTTTCAGAAAATGTCAGTTAAGTTTTACTACAGTTTAGTATCCTAAATGAATGGCTCTTGCATTCCGATATATTCGTGCTGAGCAAAAATTGTTTATCTGATCTCTTTTCTCAATCTGAAAATTGTACATAATTCTAATATATAATCAAAACGACATTATGTAATGAAAGTGTATTCATGTATGTGGCTCGCTTTTTTCAATTGAAGTTTAAAATTTATGCGTAGTATTAGAATGGTAGAAGGGCGCAGAAGACAAATGTAGAAAGTTGAAGGAATGCAGCAAGTATTGTGCTTGGTAAGCAAAGTGCGTGCTAGTAAATTCATTTGTTTCTGTTATCTATTCGTTCCCAGACTCCTTGTGTGCTGTTGTGTAGTGATTGCTTGCACTTTCAAATGCTAAGCAGTACTTGTTTAGAAAGCTCAAATAAGTGCAAAATGAAAAGTTTTATGCAGTCTTCTAATGGAATTTTTGCAGCTTTCAGGTTGATGTAAATTATAGGAAGCTATAGTGAAAGCGAGCTATTATAGCTGTAGAAAGTTATGATGACTTCAAAGAAGCGAGTTTTAAAAGTTATAATTACTCGCTTCTTTGCATATTTAAGGCATTATAAGACGATGCACTAAGAAGTAATCAAATTGCATGACCTGATATTTGTAAGTTATTAATTTAGAAGCACAAGTTGTAACCATTTCAGTACGTATTATTTCTATTTGTTTGGATCATTTCTGACTTTAAAGGGCAAATCTTTGTTGTATTTTTATTCACTGCATGAGGAATGAATGTAGTTAATCAGTTCTGTTGCCATTTTAGATGAAAGTTCTTGAAGCACTACTAGAATAATATATATATTTTATATCACGAATTACTACTTGTTTACTGTAAATTGCGTTACAAATACTACATTATTCTCAAGATAAAAGTATGTATATTGCTGTATGCATATTTTATAAGAGTAGCAAAAAAAGGAAAAGTTGGAATGAAGACTAATAGGGAATGAGCGGCATTTTTTAGTCATGTTAAATTGTGGCTGAATTTGGTTGAAAACGCAATGATTTCATCAAGAGGAATTCGCTTTTTTTATTCAGCACTGTCTTGATCGTTTTTTAGTTTTCAATTTACAGTAGGAAAGAGATGTGAGATTACTTTGCAATATATTTATATTAGTGGGTAGAACTTAGGAAGAAGTGAGGTTCGTAGGTTTCGAACGACACGATCTGGAGTTGGCGACAATTTGTAGCAAGATTTTCTTCTCTCTCTCTTTTTGAGTATTTCGTCCGCTCTCTCTTTGTCGTCATTTTGAATCGCATTTCATTACTGCTTTTCTTTATCTGAGAGTGTTCAAAGTAGTCCGGACAAATATCTTAGCTCTTTTCATGTAAATTAAGAAAGTAAATTTTATTATTGTTATATTTGCGTAAAAGATGTAAAAGCAAAAAGACTACTGATACATTGAATATTTGAAATTTATTGATATATGCGGAGATCAGGCTTACTACATGTACGTTTTTTATTCTAATATTATTGAATATATACGTTATCTTTTTGAGATTATCAATTTTAGAATTTCTTTAGAAAGGGAACACAGTGAATAAATATTTAAATCAAGTTCTGTCATACTTGTGGAAATTTGTATGCACATTCAGGGATTATTTATTTGTGTGTTTGCACTTGTAGTCAAATGCTAGACTAAAAAACATGGGCTGCATTTAGGTAACTGGTTTTGCACAACGATTCACCTTCGTGGAGGAAATAAAATATTTGAATTGGATGGTAATATAGATAGTTAGGTTTGAAAAGTATCATACAGTGACAGTCGGCCAGGAAGCAAGAAAAGAAAGAAAAACTTAGCCAAACAGTCTCAAGTTTGTACGTTCGTTACCTGTTAAAGAGGAGTGAAGAAACTCGGAAGAATACTGGCAAGTTAGTGAAAAGAAGAATCAATTGATTTTGTTCCGGTAACGTGTTCGGTCTCTTTACTTCTTTTTGCTTCGTGCTGTGCTGCCAAGGAATGAATGTTTTGTGCCAGTAATAACAGTGTAGATGGTTGCTAAATCAAGTTTTTTGTTCCAAGTAGGCATTTAAATTTTTCATCATTTATTCATCTACCCCCATCGTTTATGCATTTCTTGACTAACTATCCTGTAGCAAACAAATAATAAGGAAGTGATAACTAGAAGAAAGAAAAAGAAAAAATTTGTTTTTTGAAACTGATTACGCTTGCTTCATGACGTATTAGCTACAGGTATGAAGGCAAAAATCCAGGAGATATTTATCATGAGATTCTGAACAGAACAGGTGTAAATGCGTGCATTACATCAGCATTTGCAACTTACTGATGCTATTTGTTGTTTACTTTTTGCAAAGCAAGCAAGATTTTCTTCTTGAATTTGTATCTACTAAGATTTGTTTGCTATCACTATCTGTATGCATGCTTAACATCTTTTCGTTCGTTAAATGTCATCCAACGTTGCTTCATATATGTTTGAAATGCTGTGCATGACGTATGAAATACCAGTGCTACTTGCAATCAAATGCTTATTTATGATAAAGCAAGCACTGGTGCAGTACATGAGTTTGTCATATATCGCTAGGAAAAGCAGCTGAAGAGCGTACACTTGGAAGCAAGAGCAGTTTTAGCTTGAACTTTGCAGTGAACGTGCGTGCGTGCGTTGCGTGCACTTAGCTTCTATTATCGAAACTGAGCAAGAAAGCACAGAAAGAGAAGGCAGTTTGTGCTTGCATACCATTATACTAATTTTTCTTTCGAACCTCGAACGTCTGTTTGAAAATTGGAACTAAGCTTAACTTGATAATCTTGCACTTTGCAGGGTCAGCATTATCTTAGCAGTAGTTCTGTTTTTTGTCTAGGATTGCTCACTTGCTGTCTAGCAAAAAACACACAATGCTGCTATTCTTGAGAGCAATTTAATTTGCTTTTGTGTTGCTCGTCTCACCATGTTATGCACTGCACTGATAACATGCCCGACTCTACTTGCACCACTAGCCAAATAGAAGTCTTACTGCTGTGTTTCAACTGCTTCTCCTTGTTGCATGTTAATGCTCTGCTCTACTGCTCTCTTGCAAAGCAGAGATGCTCTTTGCTGTCATAATTTATGCTACCGTTTGTTTCATCCATCCTAGCACTGTATCAAGCATGCTCTTCTTTTCTCTTTCCTGCACATCCCATTGTTGATAACTTTTTCTCACATACCTTTGCAAGGCTGAACTGGGTCACTCCGCATTGTGAAATTAAGCAGCAGCTATGATACTCATTGTTCTCACTGTCACATGGCTTACCTTTTCGATCTCCTACCATTCGCGATCTTTACGCTCATGCAGCATTGTGTGTTTCGATAATATGTATAATATGTGCATACTTCTATTTTAATACAAAGGAAGCTTGTGTTTCAGCAGCTATGAAACATTTATTAATATTTACTAATCTTTTCATTCAAAATTTCCTTTCTACACCGCCTCTGCTTTCACTGCATAGCATTTACGTAGCAGTGTTTATTGCACTGCAGTCTATTCATTTTTAACAAGAATTTACTAGCTATATGCATAGTGCTTAAGCAAGAAAGTCACTACATATAATATATATAATTAATGTAATGCTACATTTTCATAATTGTGGTGTTAAATAACGCTGGTTTGTTGTTTACTGCAAAATTGAAGAAAACCGATTTAATTTGTGAAAACCTGCTCCATATTATATCTTTTCCTTGGTATCGCAGCACAAATACATTATCAGTTCGTGAATATTCTTTTCCTTGTGCTTGTGGATTGTGAAGCTTCATATATGTCAGAATATTAGTGGTTTTTGAAATTCCCTTCTAGATTAACAACTTCTCGCTAAAAAATATGGTCATAGTGAAATAGTGAAAATCTCTGCACTTCCTAAGCTGATCTTTTCTCCATTTTCGTATTTCAGTTGAACTGCAAATACAGTATGTGGGTGCCGGTATTTTACTCATCTATCATTATTTTAAAAGAATGCTGTATAATGAAATTATGGACTTAATTCTTCGTCATTGCAATTCTCTTCATGCCTGCTTACGCCGTTTCACTAGTATGAGTTACTTTTGCATTTTTTATTTTATTCATAATTTCGTCCATCCCATCATCATGCTCATTTCACTGCATTGCCATCTCTCTACAGTTCTTTCAAGACAAACAGCTGAGTACTTAAAATCGTAACTTTTTCCAACGAATGATATTTGTTGTTAGTAACGGTTCATTCTTTTCGCTACCTTCACAAAATTAATGACAATTATTTACCGAAACACTGAATAGGCATTCCGTTAGTACGTATGCCCACAACAGATGCAATTCTCTTTCATCTCTTATCTAATCTTTCTTTTTATACTTTTCACAAACTTTCTGCTGAGGTTTTGAACTTTGAAAAGGTTTTTTTGATTTTATTGCTCATATCATATTCAATTGACTTACACTTTTTTATTCCGTGAAATTCTGGGAAATCTTTGTACTTCAAATTACGAAAATAACTAGATCAGATAGTTTTATTAAACAAACATATTTTTCCTAATGATCATCATCATCACTACTCGCAATGAATGATATCGTTAAAAATTGTATTTGGTTATGCAATCCTAAATTCTCGCAACTTATAGTTCCATATGCTTTTGAACTAAACCATATGTATCTTTATCTTTTCTCCCTGTTCATATATTTCCATATTATTAATTAACTGAGCAGTGGTTGAAATTTTTTAATCATGAAGGACTGTTTAATGATATCAGTTATGTAGTAAGCATGTTGCTACAAACCAGAAAAAAATGTGACGCGAACTTTCTCTGCATGTCTTGTTCTAACTTGGTTATTTTACAGGAACGACTGATTAATTTTCGACCTTTGCAGCCTGACCGTGTATTTTCTCATCTTTTTAATGTAGCTTTCTAATTTCTTCAACTAAAAAAATTCAACGGCTGCAGTTCTGTATGAAGAAAGACGATGAAACGAACATTTATCGACCGTTTAAAAGTCCTTCTTCGATAGTTTATGGCTTACGACGGTACCAAAGCAAGCAAAATTCCCACGACATCAAAATTTCTAGCGCTTCTACAGATGCCTTTTCGAATGCTGGAATTTCAAATTCTTGGCACAATGCACAGGACAAAGCAAGTGTGGCTTATTTCTTGGATAAAGCAAGTAACGAAGTAACTTTGCCCAGGAAATTCACTGCAGATAATTACACCTCCACTAGTAGTGTAGGACCTGGCTTCAATGAATACTTACCTAAAAACATTTACGCTACTGCATCTGCGTTCAGTACGCAACAAAACCGAAAAGTGACTGCGAGTGGTTATGCACCGACTCGTTTTCTGGTTGCTGTCACCTGTACACCTCATCCTTCTTGGCCTAAAACTTGTTTCGCAAATAATGCAAGCTATTCTCTCTCGGCAGCTAACAATTTACCTTCAACCAAAATTATCGCCCAGTCAACATCTCGTTTGCAATCTGTACCATCCACATCTGCTTTTTCTCGTTCATCTATGAAGAAGCGCCTCAGTCTCACAAAATTATCCTCATTATTCAAACGAAATAGTTCAGGTGATTCCTTGAAGTTGTCTGATGCACTACCTCGTCGATTTGAAAGTGATGAAATTAAAAATATTGCTTTTCCTAAAGAGAAACGTAGAAGCATTGCTGCGGCAAACAGATTTATTCAGCAAAAGCTTCCCTTTTTGAAACAGAACGTTTTGCGAGAATTTGCAAGATGTAGTGATAGAAAGTCATCTCTGGAAACATTCGGAAACAAAAGATTCACCACCAACGATCTGAGAGGCAAACTTGATCCGCTCGTGATCTGGTCTGTACCTGGGAATAAAGGTGATTTTATTCTTCAAATATTCTGCATTAGAGTTTAATAGCTATTTATACATTCTATTTTTAATGCAATCAGTGCTAAGAAGGTAAGATTAAGTAATCATAATACTGCTGAGGATTTTTCTGCTTGTGCGTTCTGGGTTATCTGCCTAGATATGATTGGCATTTTTCTTTGAATTGATTTGACTATTTTATGGTAGCATATGATTGAAGTGCTAAAGTGGGCCCTATCCTTGATATGTTTCTCTTCTGCTGTTGCAGTTTATTATCTCCCAGCCATATAGTCAATTTAAGGATGGGAATACTCAATTGATTCTATTAAACTTTTTTTGCGCATATTTTTTCATTATTCACGTGGTAAGAACAATTCTTAATTTTGCTCTACTTTGTGTAATTATTATAATATTCAGGACAATATATTGGTGGTACAGATTTGCTAATCTAGCTAGTATATTGATTCCATCCCAGTTTACAGACTATTCTTGATTGTTCCTTATTTCTTTCTGTGCATTACTTTTAATCTTCAAATCACAATATAATTAGTTCTATAGCTCGTATAGAATCATCCGAGCAGCAACGCCCTTGATTAAAGTACAGAACAGGAAATTCTCAATGAGGAATCTAGAATTTACTTTTTATGCAGTTAAATGCATATATAAAATGGTCATGAAATTTTCACGTCATTGGAGATCAAATTCTCACTTAATAATTGAAGTTTGCGTAGAGATTTAACCATTTAGTTCATTTTTTGAGGGAGCTTTTTTAATTTAATTCAATTGAATTTCTTGAAATTTTTCAGATATAAAAAATGCTCAGAATAAATCATCAAAAGGCACCTCATCATCTCGTGACAAGCCACGCATCCCAAAATTTCTTAAATCGTTTTGCTGCTGTATACGACCAGAAACTACTTTAAAAGGTTACTTCTCATCTTTGAAAATCTTGCAAGCGATAGTGAAGAAGCAATAAAGGAATTGTAGAAATTTACATATGTCTGCTGTTTCATAATTTATTATCTTCATTTACTCCAATTTTTATTGCTACCAACCATGTTTAATGCATTTATAATGGTTCATAACAGTAGCAGCTTTCGAAATCGTACTGGAGAACATAGTATTGTAGATAAACGACGAACGCTTCAACCAGTTCCGTCAACTTCAACTCCACAAACCTTGATTACTCAGAAGACTAAAAACTCACAAAATGGAACGAATTTAAACGGAACAAGTTTAAATGGAAATGATTCTTATGGAGCTAATGATCATGACGATGATGTACAGTATTCTCTGGTGGGTTGTTTTTTCTTTTGCAAGTTAAAAAGATTTCTTTTAGTGGCAAAAAAGTGGAAAGTCAAGCTTCTCGCAGTCGCTGGAGTGAGAAAATTCTTCATAGATTTCAGGTGTTACAGATTATACTATTAATTTATAATCCTGAAAGAAAGATTTGTCTAGAACTTTGTACATCATTTTATGATCTTTGATTATTGATTCTTCCCCTCTTCAAGAAAGCTGAGCGCAATTAGTATGATATTTTTGTTTTGATGACAAGCGTTTTCTTCGTTAAATTGATGCGTTTCTATGTCTCTCAATGCTCCGTGATGTTGCTAAATTGCTCCAACCAGCCGACATATTGTGTATCAGCAGTTGTATTGTTGAGAATATCTAAAAAACATTTTTAGCCAGAAGTTCCATCTAAAGTAGAGTTAATCTTGATTAGTAGTCTGCTGTTAGAACTGCATATGCAATCTCGACGTGTCAATTTTTTGCACACTACGTAATTTCAATAATCACAATATTTAATCAGTGGAAAATAAAATTGAACGTACGTTATTATTATGATAATTGAAATAAGCCATGTGCTTTTATTCCAAGATTCTCATTAGTGAAAATAAGCATCATAGAAGTGTTTTCAGCAAGTGTACAATATCAGCGATCAAGGAAAATTACCTTAAATAGGAAACATCCATATAAGAGGGTTGTTGGAAACTTCATGTTCTTAAAAGCAAAATTATTAATGAAAAGAATAAATTTTAGCAGCCTTCGGACAATTTATTGTTGCCACCTCTGCATCCTAGTGATGGTGATAAGAAATGCCTTATAATTGATCTAGACGAAACATTGGTTCATTCTTCTTTTAAGGTGATTTTTGAGACAATAGTTACAATATTGAATTTGTGCATGATTTTTCGTAATTGGAGATATTGTTATGGTTTTATTTGTTCTGTTCTAGACTGTGTGCAAATAGTTCTTACTTCGGGTATTTTTTACACTATTCCACAAAATTATGCACTTTTTCATTTACTTATTATTTATATTTCAGCCCGTGAAAAATCCGGACTTTATAATACCAGTTGAAATCGATAATGTAATTCACCAGGTGTATGTATTAAAGCGGCCTTATGTTGATGAATTTTTGGAAAGAATAGGAGACAAGTTTGAGTGTGTTTTGTTCACGGCTAGTCTTGCCAAAGTACATTTTTTTAAAGCTTTTCGCAGATAACAAATTTTGAAACTTCGTTTTGCATTTTTGTTAAAAAGTACGATTGTAAATCATTTCTGGCGTTTTAAGCATCAGCTGTAGAAACGATTCAGAGATAGTTACCTTTTTTTTGATCTGAAGGAGGTAACGATTTAGTGGGACCTGCTATAATCTTCAAAAGCATTTTTCATGAATTTTTAGAGTTTGTTCGTAACTATCTTTAATATATTTTTGTAAGTTTCAGTATGCTGATCCTGTTGCTGATTTTTTGGATAAGAGAGGCGTATTTCGCGCTCGATTATTTCGGGAATCTTGTGTTTTTCATAAGGGTAATTACGTAAAGGTTTGTATTTAATTCTTTAATGAATATCATTTTGAAATATTTGGTTATCTGAATTTTTTCACATCTGTATTCCTGTCATCATTGCACATTCGAGATAAAAGGTCAAGTTTTAATGTATTATGAATATTTAAAGACTAGAGCGTATTTAAATATGTTGTCAATAGGCAAGTGATTAGAGCTGCAGAATATTAGAGTTGCATTTGTATCTTCTTTCTCAGTTTTTTTCAGGATTTGACAAGGCTTGGACGCGACTTGAAAAAAGTGATTATTGTAGATAATTCACCGGCTAGTTATGCTTTTCATCCTGACAATGCAGTATGTTATTTGGTTCTTTTTTTTTCTTCGACTATTTAGTAATTAGAAAAATAACTCCATTGTGTGTATTCGACTTTTCTTTAGCTACATTATCAAATTGCTTATCAAATAGACTGATTACATTGGACAGCATGGTATGATTCCTACTACTCAGAATAAAAGTATATTTCATCTCTGTAATCTTTAACTTGATCACATTTTAATAGTTTCTAAATCAGAATTATTAAGAGACAATTGAAACTATTCTAATGCGTCATCTTTTTCTATTGTAGGTACCAGTACAGACGTGGTTTGATGATGCAAACGATGTAGAACTCCTTGACATAATTCCTATATTAGAGCAGCTCGCTGAGGTAGATAGCATTTACACTGTGTTAAGAAACAGCAACGATGATTTTCGACAGACTAATTCTTCAGGACAGAATGAAACCAGTAGTAGGTCGTCTTGAGAAAATCTGCTTCCTTCTGGTTCTCTTTTTCTGCTTTGTTTTGCACTGATTGTTAATAGGAACGTCTTTTTGTTCAAGGTACAACTTTGCTGTCATCAGACAAGTTCTTGATTTTAAGTTTTTGTCATTAGTTGTGTGCGGTAATTTCAAAAAATTTATCTCAAACAACATGAAGTGGTGTAAAATGCAGCATTTAACATGTTAATGGGTTATAGATTTATTTTATGTGTTTTTACGAAAAGATTGTTTCGCTTAATTTCAGTACAGTGTAACTGAGCAAGTAATATTTCATTCTATTTTCAGGCGGGCTTTTCGAGCTTTGTTTTTAATGGCTAGATTTGAAATGTTTTCATTGTTGTTATGATTGTTCACTACTTTTTATTGATAAAACGTGATAATATTTTTGCAGATGGCCTTGACTGTATGTATAATTGTTTTCTTACTTCTCATCTAACTTTTTCTTTCTAGCTGAAAATAAGTATTACTTAGTTTTCGACATATTATTTATTGTCATGTTATATGCTGAATAGTTTATAACTTGCTTTTCAAATTGTCGTACTTCCTGTTTCGTGAGATGAGGATTGCAAGTTAGCAAATGGTGTTAGAAGAACAACAGTAGATCGCTATGATTCATCATCATTTCAAGCCGGAAATATTTTTTAAATTAGAAAATGTCTTATTTTTAATCGTCTTTTTTACTTGCAAGGCGAGGTTGTTGTCGTTGATAGAGAATTCATTTTACAGCTGATAAAGAGTAACTCAACTCTAAAAATGTTTCTGGTTGCTTGAAGCAGTTAATATTTGGTTGTCCAGTATGTCTAGGGTGTATTCAAGTGATCACAGCAGTTAGTTAGTTTGTCGAGCGACTTTTGTTTAATAATTTAGCCTGTTCAAATCATCTCAGTATTTGTGCCTTGTTTTGTTCGGTTTTACATTTTTTTAAATATTTATGCTATGCTCACGTGGGTAACTTTTTGCTTCAAATTGTAACACAAGAATGATTTCGTTGTTCGAAGATTGATTCGAGAGATATGATTTACCGCACGGTATATTGAGATTGCCAATTGTTTTATTCATTGAGTTTGTTCAATGCCTTTTAGATCGTTGATGCACATTTTATTTTTCAACACTACTACCGAATGATGATATCAGTTAATGAAATCTTGGTATGTAATTTAGCAAAGCTTTGATGAGTGGTTAAGACTTTCATGAGAGCAAAACAATTTCCAAAAAAAAATCCAATTGTGAAAAGATGGAAGATAAAACCAGAAATAAGAACAATTTGTTTGTACATGTTGGCTTCTCAAATATGTGCTTGTTGAATGTGCCTTCTAGAATATTAATTTCACTGTCTTCAAGATTTTCCTTGTAAAATAAAGTTATTTCTGGATATGCACATATCTAGGTTGAGTTAATATAAAAACTGTTTACACATATGACATCCACTAGCAAATGCTATGTTCTGCGAACAAAAACGATTACTTTTGTGACCAATATGAAAATGAAAATTTGCTATTTAAAATTTTTTGAACAAAAATCGAGTAATTAATGTGAAAAAATTGAAATGAAGGGTTATTTCCTAGGAGATAAAAAAGTAGTTATAACTATATCAAAGAAGTAACAGCACAGAAGTTAATTAAGTTATTAATAAGGAATGACAATAATTATGTGGACTTAAATTGTGTCAAAACATTTTCTACTCTGACATATGAGATTCACTTCATTTCACGATCACAATGAACCAACAGAATCATGCAGGTGAAGGATTCTTGCATGATCTAATACGTTGAAGGATCTGGTGATAGTTATGAGCAATTTATTATGCATCCGGAAATAAAGTAAAGTATAAGATGTAGGGAAAGCTGATACTACTCATTATGAACATGTTTTATACACATCTTTATACCCACGCTGATAACATATTGTGATAAATAAAAGTGACTAGTATAGCATACTTATTGACAGCGGTAAAATGAAATTTTGATAGCAAAGTGAGGATTACTACAATTTTACAATTCTTGATATACTTGGTGATTACTAGGTTTAAACTGTTTGCAAACCATTATACACCATTTTCATACATTGAGAAAGAACTGTCTTGAGGCCTTTGTAAAAGTTTTTTTGATGATACGCAGGTAAGGTTCACGCTATTTTCTAAGAAATTTCTGATTCAAAAGTGAACAACACTGCATCTAGTTTTTTACATTAAGTAAGAGCACCATAAAACCACTTCCGAAATCATTTCTACAGCAGTGCTAGAAGAAAATATTTGATATCATTTAATATTAAGAAGAAAACTTATCCTAAATTACAAGAGAACTGGCAATGGAGAATCACGTGCAAGCAAACCTAAAGACTGCAAGGCTATTTGACAAGCATGTGCTTTTCCAGTTTTTTTGCTACTTGATGGAATAGCGGGTTGATATTCAACATCATTGACCACTGCCTACAATATGTTTCGATGAAACTATGGTGAATGGTCATCGAAATAGTATATTTCAATCATCGCCGGCCATACACTCAATGCACACATCTTTACACAATATAGCATATTACGGATAAATCCAAGGAACCTTCCACAGAAAGCGACGATTATTCGGTGGCCCAGTTTCCAAGCAAGTAAACTTTGGTGTCGGCCATTTTTTTTTGGAACAATATTCCATGAGCATCGATACTGGATGTTTACCTAAAATGAAGTCATGAGTATATATATACAATAAAGAGAAAATAAAGAAAAAGCAAAGAATTTTGATATACCAGTGACATTACAGCAGAAATTTGAGCGCGACTTTTTTAACCCTTGAAGTTCTTCTGTAGCAACCAAACCTGAAACATATTTTATTCCCGTTACAATTTTTATGCACAGTTAAACAGTCATTAAATAAAAACATTAATTAATCGAAAAATGAGAGCTCTACTTCATAAATTAAAAGTATTCAACGTCAATGTTTAATTTAAGAATTTCTTTTTTTGCATTAATAATTTTCGCACTAGATCATGTTCCCGTTCTCTGGTTGCATTTATTCATTAATATACTCGTCTAGCGCTGTTTTGTGATAGTCTCCAGTGCTCCATCCTCACGGAATACACGGCTGTGATCAAATGAGATGCATTTGAGCGTTTTCTTGAGCACTACCATTCGGATATATATCTCGACATGATCAGTAAATCTGATTATTTTGTTACAATGGAAATTTGTTACAAACCCATTCCAAGTTATCACATATGGAACTACTTTCGACCTCCATTTCATCACGAGTTTATTAATGCATGCATCATACTTTTGCTTTTTCTCGATCTCGGATACTGTCATCCTATCTCGACCAGTCATCCAAATCAACTTCTATCAGGACTAATTCGTTTCGCATGTGTGGGAATGCTTTCAGACACTTCTTGCAGAGTCCTGAACGGAGACATTACATGATCCAATATCTTATATTACAGTCATGTTATATTTTCTCGCATTGAGTTGCCAGATGATTTACCGTCTTTACATGCCTCCCTGCAATGCAGGTACATATTTTTCCCAACTCCAAACCTATTTCTTTTTTAGTGATAACAGTGCCGTGCTTCATTTTGTAATACTTCCGTAACGTAGCTACATTGATGAATCAGTCACTTATGGCAGCTTATGGAGCACTTTCTGAGTTACTGAAGTTTTCAATCGTTGGATTGTCTATGAGAGTGGTTAGTATGAAGAAAGGGTACTATTTGCCAAATATACGTTATGAGCTTTCAACTGCTTCAAAATCACCATCGTCCTCATGAATATGAGCGCCATTTCTATAAGCACACTATGACTGCAGAAGGATAAGCTCACTTGTCTGTTCAACAGTATATGAAGTTAAAGTGTTAGCTCATCTCTTAGCAGATGCAATTTCAAATGTACAGGTTCACTGCAAATTCCGTTTTTACTAAACAAGTAACTGCCTGATATCGTGGTGTATAGCTTTGAAGTTTTCTAAAATCAGTTCGAGCACCCCTACCACTCCCTTCCCCCCTCCCCCAATACAAATATTTATGGCGTGCTCATTCCTGAAATATAAAGTTTGGTCAACCAAACTGCACTGATAGTAAGGACTTTCAGTCCTGCACTAGTACTATTTAGTGCAGTTTTGGTTGACTTCAATCTTTACCAAAAACTCTGCTCTGACTTTATTACATCTTTTTCTTGAAAGTGAATTAGTGCTGTCTTTCATTTCTCGAAGGTATCTCTTTATTTTTTCCCATGTTTCTTCTTAGAAGTAGTACTTCTAAAAGTTGCATGAGTACTACCGTCATTCATTACTTTTCGCTAATTAGCATTCATCTGTGAAACAAAAAATTCTTAAGAAACGCGTTTCCAGCCACTGGATCTGACTGTCTGCTCGAACATTCTCGTCGCATTACTACTATTTCCACTGTTCTGGCACTTTTGGCTACAGATACCATTGCTTTTGTTATTATAATTGACTGCACTGGTACTGTAGTTATCTATTTCAAGTAGCGTCATAATAATATCTTCATAATAGATAAAAGAATAAAAACCAGAAGTAGCGAACAAATAATGTGTGACTTTTGCAAAGTCTAGAGCTCGCAAATACCTCAAACCTGGGTAGTATACCAATTATTGAAATATAATTATCATAATAACTTTGAAGAAGTGTAATGCAATACTTATTTTGATACAAACCTCGTTAGAAATCATAACAAAGTTAAAACTTCTCTAAGCTTTAAAAAATGATTCTTCTACAAACCTTTTCTGTCTGATTTGATATCCAACATTAAAGGTTCAAGAGGACCATCTTTCCCTTTTCCCAAACCTTCACCAGGTGTCCAACCCATTTTTTGCATCAACTTCAAACCCACATCACTATTGACAACATTTGCTTGCTTTAAAAAATCCTAAAATAACAAAGTTATGAACTGCAAAGAGTCATTAAAAAAAATAAGTAGGTGTCAAAAAACCTTGTACAAACTTACACCGATAATCAAGTCATCAATAAGACAAAAATGTGAAGAAATCAGCTGTAGTGGTAATAAATAAAATTTTTCCCATGCTGCTCAGTAATTTCAAACAATTTTGGTCCACAATCAATGACACGGGTTGCTCACAAATATAGAAATTTTGTGATTTACTTTAAGCTATGGTAAATCACAAACCTCAACTTAAAGCCAGAAACGATATTTGCTTTTCCTTTTAACGAAGTTTTTAGACAGGGAGATTAAAGTTTTCACAAATGCTTGTTGGAAACATAAAAAATTTCAGTAATTAACAGTGTTAAGTAAGATTTTTCAAGGCGAATAATTCTGTAAAAGCTGATTTTTATCAGATAATAATCTCTTGTTCTTTCCCTTTTAACTCTTTTCTCATTGACATACTTACAAGTGAAATGCAAAAATCATGTAAAAGTTGTTTTAAACAGAAAAAAATGCAACCCGTGTCATTGAGACCATAAACAATTTAGTTCTTCCATAACTGCTCGTCCATTCTCATCCACTTTTTCTTTGCAGGAACTAAATTGAACCATCAAATATGAAGCACATCGATTGTGTACCGAAACATGAAGTCGATTACGATGCATCCACTGTGAACCATCTCAAATATTGATGATCTAACAATTAAGTAAGATTTTTAGTTCTTTTTGCAAATTATATCCTGGTGCGAAGAAAGCCGACAAAGAAGGAGTAAAATATTAGTAGGCTTTCTTGGCACCTAATATATCGAAAATAACGCGCAAACGAAGTGCAAAAGAGAATAGCTTTTTATGTGACAGTAATAGTCACTCATGCCATTCACATTGCCACAGCTGATATGTAAAGAGAAACTGAGGAAAAATATTCATCATTTGATAATAGAAATATTTCAAACGTAATGTTCTACGTAAAAAGCTGACATTGTAACCAAGAGAGATTTGGAAAACACTGCTTTCATAACATATATAACACACCACACATGTGGCAAATTTAGGAAAACAAGCAAGTACGCATAATTTTCAAAAATTTGCAATTTTTTTTGACGAAAAAACAAGCTCAGGGATATATTAATTGCTTCTATTTTCAATTACCATTCCGACGACAAAAAACCAACAACGAAATTGGGAATTTTAGGGAATGATCCAATAGATAAGCTATGGATCAAAACATAGAATATTAATCTCGAAATGTCTCAAGTAAGAAAAAAAATTGGATCACACACAAATGAGTAAGATCATTAGTGTTTTCTTTGCAAAAGTACGAAATCCATGTGCAACGTGTCATAACATTTTATAGAAGAGAAAAAGCTCTCTTCAAATAAACTGATCGCGATGCAAAAGGAAGCTCAATGTGTACTGATTCCGTTACATCATTTCTCAATTGGCTTAAATTAGGGATGTTAATGATGTATAAATAACTGCGCGAAGTAAAATTAAATTAATCAATTCCCTGCACAAATAAAATTTGTTTCACAACAAATCGAATTTGTTCTATAATAGATCGAATGAAACTGGCTCGAGCAATAAAAAATGAAATCTTTTACCGAAAATTGATCTAAAATTAACTGCACAAACTTACCTATATTACTCTTACAAATCTGAAAACTATAGTACTTTTAAAAGCTTTCAACATTGATTTTTTCAGAACATTATCATGCGGAAAAAGTATGTGACTCATAGTGGAATAAAATTGCTAAAAGAGAATTATAATTTAAAAATAAATTCATCAATTTACTGAAAGGTGCCATATTAATAACTTAAATTCCACCCACAAAGTTAATAACATTATTACTGCCCTGCAGCAGAAATTACAGGAAAAATGCTTTTAAAATCCATTAATTGGATGAAAATTATTAAAATTCTTGACGAGAAAATCCTGTGTCACCATATCAAACCATTGATGCAGCACTTTATCAGTTAATTAAACAAACCTTTTTTGCCCAAAGACTGAAACGTGAGTTATTTGGGCCAAGCTGATGAGCATTTAACACTTCAACACCGGTCGACCCTGTGAATTTGCCAGGTAAACTTCTTTTACTTTCAGCCCACGCATTAATCTAAAAAATTATATTTACCAGGAAATCTTCAAGGAAACAACGGGAGCTTCACTTATAAGAACTTCACATGATCAAATAATCAAACGAAAAGATATGCCAGACTTAATAAGAACTTTAGACAAAATCCAAAAATGAGATTCTTCGCTTTAATTCATTTCCTATGTGACTGCACTTTTTTCAATGAAGAGTGCGAACATACTCATCCCCTTTTCTGACATACGCATTCTTCTTCTTGTTAAAACACGATTCAAGCCTAACCATTTTTTTCCAATGACCACAGGGATAAATAGGAAATATGTTTGACGAGCATCTTAACGAGACATACATCTTTCTAATGTTTACAAAAACAGAATTTGCAACATTGATTCCAATTTATTTGATATGAAAGACACATATGAAATGTTATGAATGAGAGAATGTTGTGCGTTTCATGAAATCACACTAGTTAAATACAGTACAGGTGACAACAATCACTATCACACACAACACCATATTATATCCACTGTGAAATACCTCTAGATCATGAAATAGGACACAGAGGTTTGGAAGGTGGAATAAATAATCACATGAGAAATGTATTATATTCACTGCCAAGCTACAAATCAGATCGATATTGGTAACCGAACTTAAGAGGTCTAACAAGACCAAGGTACTAAACCACTCCACTACTGTAGTACTAACTAGACCAATTCACAATCAATGTCAACCATTCCAACATCACACATCCTCTACTCCCATATCTTTCTTAAAGTCTGTATAATTAAAAGGATTGCCTGTTGGTCGGCTTCATTCAACAGACGTCTTGCTTGATAGTCATTCGGATCTTTCGCTAACATCTTAGTTGCTCTTACTCGATCTGCCATCACCCTGCCAACATTTGACGGCTAAAATAAAAAAATTTAAATTGTACCCACAAAAACCATTGGAACACTTGCAGGATAACCATCATTAGGAAACTAGAAATCATGCAAATCAAATTAGTCGCAATTATTTATTGAAGACAATATGATGATGATTTCATAAGCTTAAACCCGTGGCGCGAAAATAAGAAAACACACAAAAGTTTGGTTAAAAAACAAAAATCAAGATTATCTTCGACAAAAGATTTTATTTGTATGCAAGAAGTTCTACACTCATTGCCATGTATTTCTTGCTAAACTTCAGTACATGTATAGCAACTTCCAACTATGTCCCTTTTTGATTTATCCACCATAGAATACTTCAGATAATAAAAGATACATATTTGAAGAACCTAAATGGTGGAAAAACGACCAAATCATAAAAGTATCACAATGAACAACAAAGTTAGCTTTTTTGCCCAACTTTCATATAAAGATTCAACTGATGATACAACGACTGAGCAAAAACAATCAAACAGGCATACTTGATACATTCTGTAAATGACATTAACCTATATTTTCAAATTGAAATTTTGAAATCATTTCCACAATTGTATACCGTATGAAGGGATTTTGATTCCCTGAATACAGACTCTTCCTCCGGCACAGTGACAACATTACCATAATTTAAGTTGCCGGTAATGTTCTGTGACTGATTATGTGATGATGGGTTAGCATATTCAGCACCCAAATCAGGTGGAGGGGGTGGAGGTGGTAAATGTAGCAAATAAGAAGCAGGTTGAGTAAATGATGCTAGAACTGGAGGAGTGGGAGGTGGTGGCAGCACGAACATATCGGCAGTAATGGTACCAAAATCACTGAAGACCTGAAAGACGAATTTTTATGCAGCTGAACAAGATAACTGCTTTAAAATTTCACAAAACATCTCTTGCGTTAAAATATATTGAATGAGTTAGTTGACCATAGTTTTAAAAACCGGCTGTATTTTCAGAAATTCAACTACAGACGATAATACTTTAATTGTCCGAGCTCAACAACAGAATGTGAGTACTGAATACTGCATAATGAGCAGCAGGAAAATGAATCAAACATTAAACTGAAGTAATCGTTCGATGATATACAATTAAATATAAATGAATTTCTATAAGAATTAAACTTTTCGAATTTGTCAAGTTAAAATTATAGCATACTTTTTCGTCTTCACTGAGTTGAGCAACAGATGATAGCTTTGATTTTTGCGATGAATTACATACTGACGGTATTTCTTCCTTTTTAACGGGTACCCATTCCTGAAAATAATTAAAAACAACTTAATGAATTGTAAGGTAAACAATGTCTAACCTTTTACTAATTCATAAAGTGACCAGTTTTTTACTGATATAAAAACTTACGCTATCTTTTTCTCGATGCTGCAATCCCGAAGAAACTGGATAAGTGATGCGTAATTGACTTTCTTCTAATGTCCTCTGGGCAGGTGTTTTAATTGGAAGAGGGATTGAATTCTTCGAAAATAAATTAAAATTACAACAAAAAAAAACCATTTATATAAATTTAAATTTCATGCCTTCTATAGATCTCTTGTTATTTCATCCTCTTCAAAATAGACATTGTATTTTTGATGTCTGATTTATTTTCAAACCTACATCATATTATTTTTGGGAAAACCATAACAACCTCAAAAGAAAGATAAGGATAATAATAACAAGAGATCCACAAGACATGTCTCACCAATTCATTATAACTCCTCAATATGATCAATAGCAATGTCCAAAATGTTGCGACATGAGGAGATTTAAAAGAAGAAGAGATAGTAGCTCACTGGAATGTTTATTGTGATTGGAGCCGTGGGTTTTAAAGCAAAAGGATGCTTTACAAAATCGATCTCATCTTCATTTTTTTTTCTTCTTGGTGCCAGATCTTCATCGTCACTTGATACAACTTCACCCTTTTGCCGCCGTTCATCTTTATCTTGCGATTGTTGCAATTTTTGGCAAAAAACTACAATAAAATTTTCAAAAATCACATGTAACAAAAGTGAAACAAAAAAATAACCAAACAGCAAATTTTTAAGGATTAAAAGAGTTTACCGACAAGCTGATCGACAGACTGTCCCCCAGATTTTAGCTGGGTTTTAGCCTCAGTGGTGTTTGGTAAATGACCAAGCTAAAAACTGAATTTTAGTCATTCTAAACTTAATATAATTGATACCTCAAATAAGTACATATGCATCAAATTTGGAAGTTAGGACGAAAAAAGACCGATAAAAACGTTACTGCAAACAATTTACTCTGGTAAAACTTTTTCTTTCAATACAAATATTTCTTTTGAAAGTTAGTCAAGAATTAGAACTATACAATTAAAAGGACACTACTGCACTATCAATATTAGTTCGGAAAGCAGGATAGAAAAAATTCTGCCATCACAAACAAAGTAAACTAACTTGTGCCATTTGTGCGGCATTTTTTCGAGCAATTTCTAACAATTTTTTCTTGTCAATTTTAAGGCAGTTTGAATCATCATCACATCGTCGTCTACTGCTACTTCTTCGATCCCGACGATGATAGTGCTGACCGTGACGATGATGAGACCCACGATAGTAAGATGAATGCGAGCTTCTCGAAGAAATTTCTGATGACGATCTTCAATTTCCGCAGTCAAACTCATATAAAAGAATTTCCGCAGTCAAACTTATGTGAAAGAAAAGGTACGCTTTTGTTCGTAACTCGCAAGACCAACCTTGTACGTGAATGTGTTCGAGAATATGAGCTTGATGACGACCTCCTCCGTTTACGTTCTGTATAAGGGCTTTTCGTGGAGTATTGGCGCCAATTTTTTGATCGTAGACTGAAAGTAGAATTTACTATTCTAAATTTTTGTGACATAATTACATGGATAAATTACACTGAAAATTATCTTTACATTGTGGGTACTGCATTAGAATCTTTGTCTCCACGACTCCAACGCCATTTTGATCCTTCATGAACTTTTTTATTACTATCCACGTAATATGACTGGACATAAAAGTTGCCTAAAAATTATTTCAGACTTGGACTTAGGCATTAAAATAATTGCGTCGATGGAAACTTTAAACATAATCTCAATGTAATTGAGTCAAATCTACACCAATAAAAAACTACTCTGCCGTCGACGATTCCTATCAAACTCTCGTCGTGAAGCTTGTGAATGCTCCATGATTTTGTTCCTAGAAATTATTAAACTTAATATGAGAAATACGATTATGAATAAAGTTCTTTAAAATACAAAGAAAAATAAAAATCACAAGACAGGCAAAAGTTGTAGCATTAAAAGTCTGCACACTTTTTAAGCAAATGATTCCATTCTTTTTCACTGTCGGATGTTGAAGAATTGGAGCGTCTTGAATATCGTGTGTCACGTTTCTTGTATTTCCTTTCCCTCCTTTTTTTTCCTAAATGCTTCTAAGATTAAACTGTGAGGCAAGAAAGCATATTTGGATATATATATTTTAGAGATAACAAATTATAGCGCTAACATGATGAATTAGATATCAAAAATTTCCCAAATTATATTATTCCTTTCCTCACTGAACAACCTAATAGTGTAGTTCAACAGTTAATTTAGCAAACAACCATACCACATATCCCTCGTTCGCTCTCTTTTCCACTTAATTCCTGCTCTGATGCTGAATGTCTATCGCTGATCGTTTCTTCCGTGCTACCACCATTTGAAGAACATATATTGACACGACTATGTGGAAGTTCTTCACGTATTGCTGTCCGACCTTTTTCTGCATTATTCATTAATATCTGTAAAGCAAAACATAAAAAGACTTAAAGCATTATTGAGCTTCAGCTACATGCAGACAAAAAAATTTTTTTCCTCCTCAAGTTATTAGCTGTTTTATTGATTTGTGAAGCATTAAAAAGTCTCGCGGAACAAAGTGTAACAAGCCACTATATATTTGAATTAAAGCTTGCTATTAAAATCTTGCATACATATATATATATTTATTAGTCTTATATATATATGCAAGATTTTAATAGCAAGCTTTAATATATATATATATAATCTTAACACTAGAAAATGTCAGGCTTATAAATTGTCAAGTATTAGGATTACAGTAACTTCAACTAATGTAAGAAATCATCATCACAAATTTCACACCAAAGAAGGAATCATTATACTAGTAGAGAAAATAAATGTATAGTTGTAAATATCTATTTAGGTACTAACATAATCAGTTTTGATATATTGATTTTATAAGACTGTAGCCAACAAGCTATTTTAGTAAAATCTAATCTTTTAGAAGATGAACTTGGGAAACAAAGAAGCATTTGTTCCTTTATTCTAAAAATCGTTTTCGAACTACTGAATGATGGCAATGAACTATTTTAAAGTTTAATAGGAAAAGAAATTACACTTCAAATTCCTTGGTTTGGTTTCAGTTCTGTAAAGATGATCTACTCAAAAGTAATAAGTTTAACATTATTAGCTCTAATTTCTTCCGTTAATTAAAATGCAATTCTAAAAAATGATATGCTCAGAATCATGATAATCAATACCTTAGTGGTGTTCGTAGTTCTGACAGACTGCGAAATTACTGGCTCCTGTACTTTCCGAGATGAGACTAATAAATCATCATTATCATCATCGGAAATGGGCTGAAGAGCTCCCAGCGGTTTTGGGCCATATTCCACGTCATTAGGTTTACTGCCACTACCTTCTGCAATGAAATAACAATAGTTCTCTTGAAAATAAATCACTTTTCTGAAGCCTACATAGCGAAACTATTTAAATAACACTTTTTTCAGAGAAAACTTACTTGAACATGAATGACTAAGCAAATCGGCAGGCGGTCCAGTACCACTAAAACTTTTCTGATCATTCCATGCAATGAATTAGTTAATAAATTTTTAGAGAACAATCAATCATAAAGTATAACAAATACATATTTTTTCTGAAAGATGATTTTTTATCGCATTATTATCATTATTATTTCATAAATCATTGTTCAATTGCAATTATTAGTGGCCTTAAGTGACACGCAAATTTAAAACATCAGACCATGCTTAATACTAAAATATTTCAAACCAAACTAAATATAAAGTAATCAAGGAATTTTAACGATATAATACCTTCGTCCATTTTCTTGTTTCAATTTGATATTACGAGGGATGAAAGCATTATCCCTTTCAGCTCGTACTTTAGCTAATATTTCCGACAATGGACGAGGCTTTCTTACCACAGGTGGACTTTCAGATTTCTTTCTTTTTTTAGCCAAAGGAAATACTTCTTCATTAACCTCTGCAACAAGCAGAGAAAATTAAAATTTTACAACAAACTATAATAGCTAGGAAAAGTCTTACTAAATTCTTTTGTTTTATTTCTCACAGCAATAGGAACATCCTGAAGCAATTCTTCAACTTTCTCGTTTATTTTTGAACTGCTTGCATTGACACTGAGAAAATCAGCGCCAACAGGAAGATCATCTTCATCATCTGAGATCTAAAATAATAAGAGTGGCATTCTTTATCCTTAGTAACACTGCATATCAAAAGACCTACAATATTAATAAAGTTCACAATCTCTACACAAATATTTCCATTCTGATTATAAAATATTTCAACTTCAGAAGTGAATTATTTTATACATACCTGACACATTTACTAGAATATGGTACTTGTTTTCATTATAATTATCTTCACGGATTTTTTGAAAAACTTTTTTTTCACTGTATCGAAACTCCGATAAAATAATATTAAACACCAACCTTTTCCATAATGGCTTCAACAGATGGTGGTATAGCATAATTTACAATTTTCATACTGCGATCGAAATCTTCTTCTTCCAAACTAGAATTACTACGACTTTTGTATCTAAAATAATTACTCAATCAAAATAGGTCAAATTTTAAAGCTAGTTAAACATAAAAAATTACAACTACAAAGATATACTTTTTCTTTTTTGCTGATGGTGATCTAGACTTAGGCCTTGATTTGTGCTTTGTCTTCTTGTTTTTCCTGATCTTCTTCTCTTTATGACGCCTACATTTTTTGCTTTCCATGCAGGATGACGAAAAACTGACATCACTTTCTCCTTCCCTAAACCGAAAGTAGAAATCGAGCAATAACATTACCAGTTTCAGCACATCACACAAGAAAAATGATCACTAAACGAGTAATAATAACACAAATCGTGCACTATTTGCATCAACTAACAGACTAAACTAGCACTGACAACCAGTTCACAGGAAAGAAGCTCACAAAAGACTCACATTTTATTTCCAGCTTCAGATTTGCCACTGATTAAATTTTTCACGTCAAAAGGCTGAAAACAATACTACTATAGTTTTTGCTACTTTTTAAAAAGTGGTGACATATGAAAAAGATGAAGAATCACCTCATTTGTTCTGCGAACATCATTAATGAGCGAAGCGATTATAGCGTCACTTGACGACGGCTCCGCCATATCGTTCTCATCCTTAGCCATTCGAAAAATTAGTAGCAGAATAAGTTGTACAGCCAAAATCAATGCAAAACTCTGCGTAATCCAAATTTGCAAATAACTGTACTTGAATGTTATGCAGTCAACCAACAAATCACTTCAACCTGAATATACCAAACTTGCAACTTCTTTTCTGCTAACGAGTAATTCTTTTATTTGCAGTTATATGAAGCACATGTATATAATTCCAAACTTGCTAACTCTCTCCACAAGTTAAATGTTCTTTTTTTGACATTGGCTCTGATGCATCTTCATAAGGAGTAATTTCAAATATTCACTTACCAGAACATTGGAAGGACGTTAGCCACCTCATACAAACAAATCCATGAAATAAGCACATGTCTGCTGAAACCTAATTTTTGCTACTTGTCACCAACAATATAAGTTCCACTATGCAACATCTGTGTCTCAGCAGTGTTGATTATTAGGAAATGGGACAAACAAATATGATACTTCATTATTTTTTAATTGTTGTGCTTTGTCAGCAAGGAGTAAATTATCAGATACATAATAGCAAATTTTAATGCATACTTTTCAAGCACTTTTTTCCATTCATAACAATAAGCGTATTTAAGAATTAAGTCCTGTAATTAGTCTTTTAATTAGCTTGAATTAAGTACAAGCTAATTAAAGAACATAATTAAAACTGTAACAAGACTGTTACAAAACAAAACTTTCGTACTTTTTTAATTAGAACTGTTAGAACTATACTTAATTGCAGAATTGTAATTAAGTTATAACTAATTACGTCGTCTTTCATCTATCAATTTACATGTTGAATTAAACAAATTGTTGTAATAACAAAAAAAATAAATGTTTGCAGTATAGATGTATTGCATCAATTGAATATCATATCACAAAATTTTTTACTCACTTTGATTTAAATGCAAATTTCACTATCCAAAATTGTTAAGTACTACATATTTTGAAGTAAACAAGTACTATTAATTAAATTATGCGGGTAGAAAAATACAGTGCTACTAATATTCAAATTTCGCTAAGCTAAAATTATTCGAATTTATTTACACAATTGTTTACATTCAAAAACTTTGCAGATAAACTTTTTAATAACAAAAAAATTCATTCTTGCCAGTATTGTTTTGAGAAATGATTCTGAAAAGAATGAATTAAACAAGCAAAATAACAGCATTACAAAATAAGTGATTAATGCCACGGCGTAATACTTGTACAAAAATATGTTTTACTCACTGTTCTTACATGTCTGTGAAATCATAACTACAATTATGAATATATTTGTAATGCTCGCACTCGTCCTCATCCTCATCATCATCATCATCATCATCTTTGTCCTCCTCATCATCATCATCTTTGTCCTCCTCCTCATCATCATCATCCTTGTCCTCATCATCATCATCATCATCATCATCATCATCATCCTTGTCCTAATCATTCTCGTCATTAAAAACGCACTGTATGCCTTTCATCAATATCAGTGTATATTTTTTATATGTGTACGAGTTGTGAATAATTTTTGCTGCATTGAACTGCACGATTATTCATTCGAATGATTATAAATTCATGCATTAGTTGCAGGTAACAAGCACATGTGCTGCTGCTCACCTGATGTTTCATTTCATATTGTGATAGATTTTTACGATAACATTTAGTTATTGTTTGCTAGCAACTAAAATTTCTATTAATTTAATGATTTATTACTTTTGACTACTTGGATGGTATATTGTGCTTAGATTTTACTTGCTGTTGATTCCTATGTTAATTATGCTACTTTTTACCTCTATTATGGGCATGAATTTGCAAGCATATTATCAGTGCTTAGAAAAAGTCAAACTTTCAACAAAGACAAGCGATTTTTGCAAGCTTCTTATTTGATTTGTAAGTGTAACGTGTGTAATACTGAAGTATTAATTTAATATCAACTATAAGCTTAACTTGCAGTCTGTATATTTAAGGCGAATTTTTAATCAGCAAAAGTAAAAAATGTCAAATAAATGATCGAATCTGTAGGAACAAAATTGTTTAAGTCAATCACAAAAACAGCCGATGAACTTGGAGGACGATTCGAAATCGCTTTTACGAATTTTTCTGATAAAATTACAAGTTTGTTTACTGAATTTGCTTTCTAATAAATAGCTTTGTATTTTTCTGAGTGTTTACAAAAAGAAATTTGAGAAATTTGAAATAATTTTGTAAAGTTAAAATTATTATTCCATCAAATATTGTAAAGATGAGCTTTGAAAATTTTTTTTCGCCTTCGTACAAAATATCAGCGATAACATAAAAGTTAACTTTTAAAGATTTTATAATTTTTTGAATTATTCTTGCAGGGGATGCCGATGTATTGGTTGTGCAATTAACATTTTTATCAAATCTTATAAGTATTGTACTTTGCGTATTAATCGTACTTCTCCTTATCATAATTTTCAAGTTTTTTACGCTTGGCGTATTATATGTAAGGAAAAATTGGTATAAACGTCATTTACGAGTCTCAAAACCACACGTAGGTTGAATAAACAGTTTTACTTATTTTGGGCTTAAGTAAATTTTTTTGCATATTTTAGCATTCCCTTAGAGAAAAATTGAAGAATATTTTGTCTTTTTGAAAATTAAACAAAATGATAACTATTGATAAATTTCAGTTTCTCATCCTTGCGACAGCTATAACATTAGATGATGAAAAAATGAATTCAGCAATATTCACAAAATCTAACACTCTACAAGTAGCAGTTCAGCTCCAAAGTATTCTAAATGACAAAGCAAATGAATTTTTGGTCAAATCTCACAAGAACTGAGTGTACACGTCACAGACAGTTCCAAAAAACAAAACTTAATCTCTTCACTAAATAATTTAATTTTTGATAAGTTATTGATTTCTTGATTTCAGTTCAATCAATTAATTCATTCTTTTATTCGACAGATCTAATGATTTGATTTTCGTAAATTTCACATATTCCATTTGTTACTTTTCCAGTGACTTGACGTTAGGATGACCTCCATTTCTCGCACTTACTTTTCATTCTATCAATTACTTCTTAATGAGATCAAAATTCAAACTATTTAAACAAAATAGGTTAACGATCATTGTTTTGATTGAAAAATTCCATATGATTCACTGCAAATTTTCTAAATTATTTTGCAATCTATCTAGTTTTTTGGCTAATTTTCGCAATATTTAATTCAATTAACTAATTTAATAAAGATTGAGCTTGAACAAATTGCATTATGGCGTGTGCCTTTTAATATTTTTGTATCAATTAGAGGCAGGCATTTTTAGAACATTTTTTATGAATACAAATCTATATCGAATACAGTCCTGCTTTACATTTCATTTATGTGTTCATTACAAATTTCTGATTTAAAAATGCATATTTATTTTGCTAAATAGACGTTTGAGTTTTTATTTCTATAAGGCACTAAATTGTAAAGAATTAGAATTTCAAACAGTAAAGTATACTTGAAGTATACTTCTGCAACTATATAATTGATAATTATTTAGCAAAATAAGCAAGCAAACATTCAGTATTTAAAATTTTTTTATTATTTAGAAGTAATAATTTAAGAAGCAATTTACAGTAATCAAAATAAAAAGGTGTGAGAAAGTTCTTCAGCAAACTCATTTGCATAATTGTTTTCACTTATTTGTTTTTTAATAAAATGCAATAATGCATTATTTGTTGCACATTTGGATAAGAACTTAATTGAAAATAAATAAATTAATTTCTAGATAATCATTCAAACTGTCAAAATGTTGAAAAATAAACAAGGAATTAGATGGACTAAAGCTTTTTTACAGAAGCCAAATTTTTGTTATGTTATTAAAGTGATAAAATTCTCAATTTTTTAAGCTGATAACAAAAGATGATAAATTACTTCCAAACTTGTTTGCTAGGGTCTCGTTTAATAATAAACTTGATAAACATTTCTAATTATAAACTAATTAAATAATGAAAAAAAAAGGTGTATCTTGAGATATAGCAGATTACTTTCAATGAATGTTTCAGGCTAGTAATATTGTAAGTTATTTTATGATGCTTTTGTTCAGATTCAAAATGTTGCAAAAGTTAACATTTATCAATTGAATTCAATGCCATCTAAATTACTTCAACTACAAATTGTGTTCAGCTGCTTAGCATACAAAATTAAAAAAGAACTTTCCCACCAAATTATACTTAATGAAACGCAGAATCTGATGTAATTTTGTTGCCGTACCATATAAGGTTAGTAAAGTTCACTTTAAATTTTTATTCATTTATCTTGAAGAGAATTTTTAAAAAAAAGACATTCCAAGAAATATATAAAAATAATAAAGGGACTTTGACATAGTTGCTAATACGCACTTCCATTTTGTACAACTAAACTGTATGGAAAATTTCTAGAAATTCTTGTTATTAATTACAGAGTTTGACGATTTTTTGTATTATTTTGAACATTTCAATCTATGATTCAATTAAAAGTTTCACACATGGGAATGGGTTCTTTTACTTGCTATCAATACCATACGTGATTTACGTTTAATATCAGTTGCGAGTACTGGCTTGAAATTCAACAACATATCGAAATTACAATAGTAATCATCATTTTGGATTAGAACAGAATCTGACATTGTGTGAGTTTCTTAGAAAATTATAAATGTAAAAAAAACAAAAAAGAAAAAGAAAAAAACAGGTTATTGAAAATAATATAATCGTGCATAATGTACTGTATTGAAGCAATCTGGATTTTTATTATTTGCAATCAACAACAGTTTTCACGAAAAATTTGCTAATTTTTAAGGCTTTAGCGAAAAATTGTAAAAAATTAGTTAACAAACTAATTAAAATTGTATTAATTTACTAAAATTGACTTCTCAAACTAACGTCTGCTCAACTATTATTAGCTTTAATTATGTTACTGAAAAAGGAATGCTAAGCATATTAAATGAATAAGCATAATGTCAATTCAATAAAAGTAATTATAATTATGAATAACTTAAAGTTAATTAATTATACTACTGATGTATAGTATCCTTTACCCTTTTGATCTATTTGTATTGCACTGTGTAAAAGGATATGTAATGCTTTGTGAATGCATATGATAAAAATGCTTAACAGAAAATAAATGATTGGCAATAAAATATACAAACAAAAGCACTTTCAAATAAAACGAAATTTTCACTAGCATTCAGAAGCATTAACAATCAGACTAAGTTAGATTACAAAATCAAGGTCACGAGAAAGTAATTACAAAAGTTTTAACTGAAGGTAGTCAGAGAATTCGGCGAATTATATTGTGCATTAAAGTAAATACACATTTACTGAAACTCAAGCGATTCCAATTTTATGTAATTATGAAAATTTCCTTGAGAATAAACCTTAATTAGCTTAATTAAATTCTTAAAAGACTTTCAGCAGATAATCATGCAAATTTTATGATGGTTATGAGTACATTTATGTTAAAGAAATCTGCTAATTAGCATTTATCCGTCAAAATTTATCTTTTGAATTTATAATTTTTTCGTGTATTATACATTTTTGCATATTCTCATGCTGAATTAATTCTTAGAATTCGTAACATTCATCATTCCGATAGTAAGCGATTGCTTATCTACGTGTTTCAATTTTTCATCCCTTTCTTCAACATAAGTGTATCTCATGGCGAGTACGATAAAAATCCCAATTACAACTACCACCAAGAAAGCATAGACAAAAAATTCTGTTGCTGGTTCTGCAACAATGTGGGACCCGGAGATGAGCATGTCTATCACATTACCCAAAAATACTGTCGTTAACCAAATAGCCTGAAAACTTCTCACTCCTTAACTGTTCTCAAATAAATATTAGCATATTTACATAATAGATAATTTTTTGTATTAATTGCAAATTCTGAATAATAGCAGTTGCAAATGAAAAATATATTAACTACTTTGTTAAAAGTAGGTACCAGTAATAAAAGTATGAGATACTAAAAATAATGGTAATAGAATAATTTTTAACATTAACAAAAATGATAATAATATGATGATGATGACGAAAATAATGATATCATCGTCATTACAGTAATAATTATAATATTTATTAAGCCTACTTTGAAAACATATGTCAGTCATCTTGCAGTAACTTTAAATTATTGCGCAATTATTTAATATACATTTAAATCATATTGCATTTTAAATATAAAATTTGAAAAAAATCGTAAAATGAGTATTATAAATATTTATAAATATCCTGTAAAATTTTTTACTAAAAAAATCTTACCTGTAAAACTGATTTCATATTTGGTGATGCTTGTGAGTACGAGAATTCCAAACCAGTCACCGAGAATAATACTTCCCCAATTGTTATAATCAAAAACTGTGGTAGCTGCCAGAGCATACTTACTGTATTTGGTCTGACAATAGTATGGATCGCTGTAATACCTTCACGAATAACTATGACATGAGCTGCACCAGCAATAGCTTCGAAAGTATGATTGTATGAGCAGTTTTGCACAGAACAATTGTCTGCACCAAGCTTCAATAAATATTGTGGAGAACTGATCAGTGCTGGTTGGATATCCAAATATTGCCCTAGAAATGATACGAAGTTATCTGCAAACAAAAAGACTAGCTAGTGTTTTCACAGTCAATAAAAAACTTTTCAAAAAGTGGTTCCAAGATTAAGGTAAAGAAATATTAAGACGGTATCAAATTGAATATTAATACATCTGTATAAGTTTTTAACATTAACTAATTAAATGACTAATTAAATTAGAAGAAAACAAATAAATTAATTAAAGCTATTTTGAATCTGCTTTTATTAATTTTTGCTGACAGCACTGTACTATAGAAGAGATTTAAAAAGTTTTTTACATAGACTAATTAGATTTTTTAATTTTGCTCATAAAAACATGAAATACCTGATTTGATTACAGTTTGTTGGTGAATATTTCCATTAATATCAACAATGTAAAATTTTCCATACAACAAACTGGAATCTTCAGATACTAACAAATATAATCGAGTGCGACCATTTTCAGATTTCTCGCAATGATAGGGAAAAATAGACATGCTACTTCTGAAGTATATTTCTAAAGTTAAAATAAATGAGAAGTAATTAAATTGTTGACAGATTAAATTAGGAAGCATTCACAAAAATTGTTCTCAAATTTTAGATTTAGCGATTAATTTTTTTATTTTCTCTAAATAACTGTAAAAGTCAATCACTAAATAACCAATTCAATGCATATCCAGTAAATCATAAATATATTCAATAAATTTTATAATGCATTCTTATTTCAACTTTTTGAAATTGCTATTGTTGATAGTATTCACCTGATCTGCTTATCAAATTCGAATGGGAAAATTTAAGAAATTGTATTTTAAAAGACTTCAAAAAACTGATCTAATAAATGCATCATCACAATCAGAAGATCTATGAGAATCAGTATGACAAACTTATTTTCAAATAATCCGACAACATATCCAGTCGACGCACTCGTCAAGTTCACATCGAAACTTGTTAAATCTTCTGCTGTAATAGTGTAAATACCTTCTGGTAAGACACTTTTTCCGTACTCAAGTTTTGTGTCGTTTATTTTATACTGACGTGAAGTATCACCAAACCGTTGCAGTATAACTTGACCTTGTTCTGGACATGGTTCCATTGTTTCATTCACTTTAAGCTGCAAGACAAAATACCTTATTTCTACAATAACTAGTATGATTTAAAAAAGTTGGCTATGACCTCTTAAATAAATTAGTTATTATGAAGTGCAAATTTTTTCAACATTAACCTTTTCCATTTTAAAAGTGAATGAATTTAATTTATGCATCAATCAAATGTTCAAAAATTGATAGTATAATCGGTAATAAGAAATATTACTTGCAGTATTCCAGCCATGATGAACGCTGCAGCTACAAAACAACCACCTGTAGCCATTTTTCGAAGTGGTGTAACTTTGACAAATTTTTGAATAAAAGGATAAATACATGCTTCAAATATAGGAACTGTGATCAAAATAATTAATGGATTAAAGGTATTCATCTGATCAGGCAAAATCGTAATAGGGCCTACACGGCCATCCATACGACGTGCTTGCAGCACCCAAGTGCTTCCCTCAAATATTTGTTTTCTTTTACATTAAATAATATCATTCGAATTTTTTAATATTTCAATATTTTTTATAAATAAAAGCAAAGCATAATACACTTAATTCTTAAGTATTACTCCATTACTTTCCATCTCAGCTCTTAGTTTTTCCAAACATATTTGTGTCCAAAAAAGTTTGAAAACTTGAAAGTTCTTAAATTTTTAACTTTTTTGTAAGCTTAAAAATTTTTATCAACTATGAATTTGTCAAAAGTTTCTTTTAAAGCCTAATGTATACTTCACAAAAAGTTACATTGTTTATATTTACAAAAGTGTTATAAAAAACTAAAATTAATATTCTTATTGCGCACTCAATTTTTAAATAAAAACAATGATATCTTACTAAAACCTATAATTGATTGTGTGCAGAAAATAATCTAAAAAATAATTCTTATAATTTCTATAACAAACAAAATTAGATAAAATAAGAATAGAGCAATTTTGTCGGCAAATAAATTTCACTTTACTGTAATTTTATTATGAAAATATATTAACAAAGTTAGTATGCAATCTGAAAGCAATAATCTTGCTATATTATTACTTTGTATTATGCCATCTAAGTTTAAAGTTTCCTACAAACTAAGGATATAACAAAATTGGATGGATAATAGTTAACTTATAAATCACATTGCTTTCTCTATTATTAAGCACTTATCAAAAATATAGTAAAAATTGTTCACTTGTTGATCTAATAATGCCCAAAATAATATAACGGGTGCAAACAGCACCGAAACAGCAACTAAACTCTTCACTGCTTGCAAAAAATGACTACTATATTTAGGTTCTGCGTAGTCAAGCCAGTGTTCAACCTTATTTTGACCTCTGCAAAGGACCTTCAAAAAGACAATAAAATTATTCTTGATAAAGCTCCAAAATACTACAGCATAGTAATGATAAACAGACTTGTATGCATATATAAAATTAATTAGTATTTACTAGAAATAAAAATAAATTTCGGAAATTATCAAAAAAATAGTGAAATTTTTGAGAAAAAAATTTATGCAATTATTAATTTGATTAGTTGATTCAGCAAGGATGAACAAATATACATATATATTATGACAACAAAATCTAGCCCAAAAATTGCAGTATTTCATTTTAATTTTAATTTAATCCTAAATAAGTTTTTCTTTAATAGTTTGAAAACATTTTTTATTTAATAATTTTCTAATATTAACTTAATAAAAGTAAAATACACAAACAAGTTTAAAAATAATATAATCTTTAAAGTTAAAAAAAAATTTTCGAAAGTAATACAGCTAATCAACCTGACAACATTTGTGATTTTTTGCTTAGCTGCGTAAGCAATACAACAAATGACGCTGAAAACAACGTTGCCCTTTGCGGCGGGTGTAATTTTATAATATTTCCATCCCGATAGAAAGGATATAAAGGCAATTAGCATTAGCGTCCCCGGAACACCTAAATAACTTACTTATTTTATTCGCATGACAATCTTTGTACATTTTGTATTAATACATGTTCAGTTGTTTTATTAATACAATATGTTTTTAAAAATTTTTTACAAAATTTATGTTTTAAATTTAAGTGACAAATGTGCAGAAATATGGCAGTAATTGTTGTATTTAATAAACTAAAGTTAATTAGTAAATGTTACACACTGACATGCATTAACTTATAAATTTCAAATAATTAAAAAAAATAAGTGTAAAAGATTGTGCATAATTTTGTACTGCTTACCAAACGCAAGAGGAAAGCAGTATTCAGATCCAAAGCATTTCACACGTCCACGTAACATAGGTGTTAGTAAAATAGCTAATAAGGAGCCTGCATTGATGGCAAAGTAAAAGAATGAAAAGAACTGATTCCTTTCATTCACTTGATTCTCTTCAAACTAAATTCCAAAACAAACCTTTAACTTTGTGCTAGTAAAGAATATAAAAAATGAAGCAATGAATATTTAAAATTTCTTAACTTAATGATCACTTTGGATCGTATATAAATGACATTTAAATAAGGAGTTATTATGTTTTTTTGCATTTAATGGAAGCTCAAAGACTGAATTTTAACAAAAAAATTACATCTTAAAACAATGGTAATAAAAATTATTTAAAATTAAGGCACTGTCTGAATGAAGTACAAAAATAGCAATTTGAACAAAATATTAATATTTATATTGTTGTAAATTACTTGTTACGATAATTGTAAATATATGCACTAAAAATTACAAGCTAATTACTTGATCAGCAGCAAATGCAGAAACACATGGTTTAATGCCACCAGTAGCAATAGCAATAACAACTAATCCACTAAAATCAAGAATGGAACGGATGCTATACTTCAATTCTGGTAATGCTCCAACTGATAGCAAAACGTGACCAAACACGTAAATAAGAGAAACCCAAAGTATAACACGAAATCGACCAAAATAATTGTCAGCCGCAACAGAACCAATCAAAGGTGAAAAATATGCAAGCGAGATGAAGGCATGATAAAATAGAGATGCATGGCTGTAACACTGATAAATCTTTTAGTTTTAATCTATTCATAATGTTTAATTGCTAGTAAAGTAAAGCTAAAACAGTAATTACTAATTAGTGAAAAATTAATTTAAAAATAATCATTTTGAAGAAAAATTTTACAACAAAACCTTTCAGTAAAATGATGTTCAGTGATGAGATACAGCATTAAAACAGCACGCATGCCGTAGAAACTGAAACGTTCACAGAATTCATTGCCAAGCATGAAGAATACTGCAGTTGGGTAAGCTCGAAGGCTAGCCAAAAGTCCTTTGCGCTTAATTTCAGCCATTTCGACAAAACTCTTACGGTGCAAATTTTCTGCTGATTTGTGCAATAAGTATTGTTGCTGATCTGATTCTAAATTTGATTGTTTTTCTTTTCAATTAATATTTTATAAAAAGTATTATATGACAAAAAAAACAGAGAAAAACGACGTGAGATATAAATTAATTACTTTTTAACTAATTAATAATAAGTGCTAAGCTTGTATCAATTTAAAAAAAGTTGTATTATGAGCTTGAGCTAACTTGTTAAGCCTAAAACTTCGATTTGTGTACGAAAAAAAAACGACTTTTCTAAAATACTTCTAGCCTTTGAAAGAGATCATAAATCATTAATTTATAGTTGGAAGCCAAAGTAAGCAATTACATTGTTATTTGAACAATACTAACAGATAGCAATTTTTCTCGAAAACAATTTTTTGCCAAAATTACATCCTAAAAAAGCAAATGCTAAGTAGTTAAGATATTTAATAACCAAAAAGAGTCAATTATTTTATACATTAAATTTAGTTGCAAGTAATAAAGTATAGTATAGTCTCCAAGTGTAACAGGCAGTCAAATAATTTCAGTTATTAGATGAAAAAAATTTGAATAATTTTTTCAATTACTGTTATACATACACGTAAAAAAATGATAATAACGCGAGAAAGATTGGACAGTATGAAAAAGTAATAAATATGTAAATAAAGTGGCATATTATATATTCGTTTTTGTATACCTTTTAAATAAACAAATAAAACAAGAATTACCTGTTCTAAGATCAAATACTCAAAACTTTAATCTCTGCTTTTCTCATAAATTGGACAATATAATTTTTGAACTAGAAACAAAGATTAAAATAGTCTTAAAATTGTGATAATAATCGAATATATGCTAATATTTTTCAGTTTTCATTTATTAGCAGTAATGTGAAAAGCTATTTTTGATAATCACTAAAATTATAAATGACAAATAAAATAACGATAAAACTAGAGAATAAAATTTCAAAAATTTTCAAAATTTTTAATTCTATACTTTTTGTTTGTATACAGAATTCTATAACTGTTATTTTCAAATAGCATACAACTTATTTTGAATAACTAACTGGCGATGTTTTTGTTTGATTTCTTTTGGTTAATGCTTAAAATAAATAACATTGATATAAATAATACATTTTTGAAATTAATTTAATTATAAAAATTTTTCGAATTTATTTTGATTTTACTTCTGTCTTAATCTTTTAAAAAGTGCACACCAAAATATAGTAAGTTTTATTACAAATATGAATAATAATTTTAAAAAGCAATGAAATTTTTCACATTTATAGCATTGTTTTTTAAATTTGTTTGCGTACTAATACCAGTTCCATAAAATTAATATTTTTGTAAAATTATTTCAATATTTCCAGCTATCAACATTGATTAGTAAAGAATTCAGTAATAAACTTGAGAAAAGTATCGTTTAAATATTAATTATTCGTCAAAACTAATAATACATGGAAGACTGAAATTCTAGTTTTTAACACTTGCGAGAACCAGAAAGTCATCAGTCATGTTGGGAAAGATATTGATCAGATAAAATCGAAAAAATACCAAAAAACAGAAAATATTAAAATTTAGAAAAAAATTATAACTTAACATTTTTTTGCAATAAAACAAAGTTTAATATATGCTAATAAGTAAATAAACAAAAGCCCTTGTAATCAATTAGAACTGACTTAATTTGGTAGTGATTATCAGTAAACTAGTAGGATTATTAAATGCTTAATTGACAAAATCAAACAGATATCAAGCATTCATACAGACACACTTATTCGTATGAACAGAATCAAATTGCCAGTAATGGAGATCATTTAAGACACAGCCATATATATGCATGTGATCTTAGAAATAAACTAAAATGTGTATTAAAACGAAGAGAGATCTTTGATGAATAATTGTCCGACAAAATTAGTCAAAAAGATTGATATTTAGAAAAATGTTCAATTTTTATTCTGTATTACTGCTGTCCTGTCTATTTACTACTTAACACAAATAAGTGCAATTGTTGAATGAAAAAAGCCAATGTATAAATGAATAAAATCATGAAGTAATTAATATTGAATAATTTACAAATTAGCAAAATAAATAATTTTTTTACTAAAAAAAATTAACACATTTAAAGATCAAATTTTGATTTGACACTGAAATAAGAACAATTATTGAGAATAAAAAGGAAGTATGTGAAATGAATTATTAAGCAAATATTAGTTGAATGAAAAAAGTGTACATTTTCTCACTCCAATTCCGTTGTATACAAATTCGTTACAAGCACTAATCTCGAATGCTTTCTTTGTTGCAGACAATAGAAGAGCAAAAAAAGCGATAATTGTAAAAATTAATTTCAAGTTTAGTGCTACAACCTGAAGAGGTTGAAGAATGGAATCAGAATTCAGTGAGGAATCATCTTTCTTTGGTGTTAAACATTTTGTATTCTATAATTCATCAGCGAAAAACTCGTTTTCTAGGCGTTTGGCTGATTGCAAATTTTGATGTCATTTACTAAATGAAAATTAGCGATATTTTTTGGTAATTGCAAACGATTAGTAATCACTTAAATATCAGTAAGTTACTAAAAGTTTATTGTAAAGATCAATAAGTTACTGTAAAGATCAGTAGGAATCTAAATAAAATTTGAGCAGAATAAGTCTAAACTCTGTAAAATTTTCACTTACTCAAATAGGTTCTGACACACTTAATTGATTTACTTTTTGAGTCATTAATCTAATATGGTAAGCAAAATCAAACATAATGCATTATCAAATTTGTTTTTCAAATAATGCAATTAATCTGTTTATACAAGTCAAGTAATCTTGTTAACAGCAATAAAAGTAATAAAATATGTACATAATACAGTTTTTATTCTATGTTGCTGTCTACTGCTTAAACACATAACTGCAGTTATTTACTATGCAAATATTTACTTATACTTCAGGTTTTTATCAAAAAGAAATAATCACAATAAAAAGCAGTCAGCTTAATCTTTATAAGTTTATAATAAAACTATATTAGAATATTAACTAATAAAAAATAGCTGATAATAAATACTAAAAAAGCTGGGGAAATTAGCATTTACACATAGTAAAATGTTCAATAACCAATTTGCCATCTTCAAATGAAAGCAAAATCAGACACTG